TCGGCCCATGACCCAGGCAGGTGCCCTGACTGGGAATTGGACCGAACCAGTAACCCTCTGGTTCGCAGGCCTGCGCTCCCTTCACTGAGTCACACCAGCCAGGGCTGATTTGTCAATTTTATTTAATTCATTGCAAACGTAAACAGCTGCACGCGGCTGGGAGCCACCAGAGGGTGCACTCAGTTCTAGAGTCTAGTCTTCCAAACCCGGCAGCTGGGACTTTTCTCTCCCATTTAAGCCCCTGGGGGGGGGGGTGTCTTTGGAAAGGGGAAGAGAAAAGACAGGGGGAGCATAAGAGTCTCCCCGACCCAGGCTTTCAGAGGGAGGGGTCACAGCCAAGGGAAGGTCTGTCTGAACCATAGGCAGGGTGAGGGGATGGATGTGAGGCACATAGAAGCTGAAGGAGGTCTTCACTCTTCAGGGTGGTTCAGGAGCAGGAGACGCACTGCGGAAAAGCACTTCCTTCGCTATTGCAACTGAGGCACCTCAATCACTGCACCCCAGTTCTGGCACTATTGACAGGGGGCTCTGCTTTGAAGAACTGAAAACCTCAACTCTTCCACTCCTCTCCCTTCCAGCTCTATCACAGCGACGCCAGACCAAACGGAGTGGGGCAGGGTACAGTGTGGGGTGCAAAAGAGTGACTCAAGAAAAACTGTCAGAGACACACTGGGAGAGAGGCATTTCCCAGTGTCCACTGCGAATGAGGATCACCAGGCTCCGAAGTGCAGGTGTTGGACTGCACAGCCCAGAGCAGCCCTGTCTGTCAGAAAAAAAAAACCTCATTGATCTGTTGACTTATTACATTTTCCTGGGAGACACTTTGTCTTGCTCTAACAAAATGCCTACGTAATGACAATGTTTCCAACAGATGGCAATAAAATGTCTTGAGAAAGGGTGCCTTTTACTTTTTTTTTTAATTATATTTTATTGATTATGCTGTTACAGTTGTCCCAGATTTTCCCCCTCTGGCCTCCTCCACCCAGCACCCCCACTGCCTCAGTTGTCCCCCGTCCACTGTCCATGTCCATGCGTCATGCACATACAAGGTCAGTCTGGAAAAAGTCCAGCCATTGGTAATATAATGAGAACGGTTTGCATGACATCACTGTAACCTGGCAGCCAAGGAGAGTGACCTGGGATGTATATGCGTGAACAGTGATGACTTCACTATACTAGTCAGTGGGGGCAGTAGGCGCTGTTGAGTGAGCATGTGTACTGTGTGGCTGCTGTACTCAAAATGACTGAGAGTAGAGCAATGAATCTGCACCAAATTTTATGTTAAGCTTGAACATTCCTTCATGGAAACTACTGGGATGATTTAGGAGGCTGCAGCTGTGGGCGACTGGTGATTGGCAGCTTCACCACAACACACCTGCTCATGCATCGTATCTCCCGCAGAGTTTTTAGGCAAAACATCAAATCACCCAGGTGACTCAGCCCCGTCACAGCTCAGATTTGGCACCCTACAACTTCTGGCTTTTCCCAAAACTAAAATTACCTTGAAAGGGAAGAGATTTCAAACCACCAACAAGATTCAGGAAAATACAAGGGGGCAGCTGATGGCGACTGGGAGAACTGTGTGAGGTCTCAAGGTGCCTGCTTTGAAGGGGACTGAGGGGTCATTGTCCTATGTACAAATGTCTCTCGTAGCTTGTATCTTCTTCAACAAATGTCTCCATTTTTCATATTGCATGGCTGGATACCTCCTGGACAGACCTGGTATGTTCTTTGGCTACTTTATTTCATATGCTGTACTTTACATATCTATTCTGTAACTACCAATTTGTACTTCTTAATTATTTCACCTTTTTTGCCCAACCTCCCCACACCCCTCCCATCTGGCAACTATCAAAATGTTCTCTGTATCTATGGTTCAGTTTGTGTTATGCTTGTTTTTTATTGTTGTTGTTTACATTTGCTTGTTGATAGACATGTCTTTGTTGACATTTTGTTGTTCATTGATTTTCCTCTTCTTAAATAAGACCCTATAACATTTCATATTATGCTGGTTTGGTCATGATGAACTCCTTTAGTTTTCTGTTGTCTGGGATGTTCTTTATCTGTCTTTCAATTCTATTTGCTGCGTAGAGTAATTTTAGTTGTAAGTCCTTGCTTTTCATCACATTGAATATTTCTTGCCACTCGCTTCTAGCCTGCAAAGTTTCTTTTGAGAAATCAGCTGACAGTCGTATGGGGCTCCCTTGTTGGTAACTAACTGCTTTTCTCTTGCTGCTTTTAATATTCTCTCTTTGTCTTTAATATTTGGCATTTTAATTGTGATGTGGCTTGGGGTGGGTCCTTTTGAGTTCATCTTGTTTAGGACTCTCTGTGCTTCCTGGACTTGTATGTCTATTTCCTTTACCAGGTTAGGGATGTTTCCTTTAATTATTTTTTCAAACAGATTTCCAATTTCTTGTTCTTTCTCTTCTCTTTCCAGCACCCCCGTGATGCAAATGTTGGATTGCTTAAAGTTGTCACGGAGGCTCCTTACACTATCCTCATTTTTTTTTATTCTTTTCCCTTCTTGCTGTTCTGATTGGTTGGTTTTTGCTTCCTTATATTCCAAATCATATATCTGATTCTTGGCTTCGTCCACTCTACTGCTCATTCCCTGTAAATTGTTCTTCATTTCAGTTAGTGTATCTTTCATTTCTAACTGGTTCTTTGTTATGGTTTTCATGTCCTTTTTTATGCTGTTGAAGTTCTCTCTGAACTCATTTGCTCTTCTCCTAATTCATTGAGCATCCTTATAACCAGTGTTTTGAGCTGTCTTGCTTATCTTCACTTTGTTTAGTCCTTTTTCTGGAGTTTTGTTCTTTCCTTTCATTTGGGCCTTGTTTCTTTGTCTCCTCATTTTGGGTGCCTCCCTGCATTTGCTTCTATGTATTAGGTAGAGCTGCCATGTGTCCCAAGCTTGCTAGAGCGGCCTAATATCGTAGGTGTCCTGTAGGGACCATAGCACAGACTCCCCTATTACCCAAGCTGGGTACTTGAGGTGTGCCCATTATGTGGGCTGAGTACACCTTCCTCTTGTAGTTGAGCCTTGGTTGCTCTTGGCATGTCCAAGGTCAGCCACCACCTGTGTTCTGTGCAGGGTCACACAACATAAGCTACAAAGTGATCTGCAGATGGCTGCCACTTGTGCTGAGCTTGGAGGGACTCAGGCAAGGTCAAGATGTTTACCAAGGCCAGCTGCTGCTAGTGCCAGGTCTGGGGCAACTTAGCAAGAGGTCTGGGGCTTGGTGAAGCCAGATGCTGATTGTTTGAGAGAATTTAGAAAAATGTGAGGCATGGGCCAAGACAAGCCATTCATACAGAAAAGCCCCCGGAAACAGCTTAGGTTGGCCCAAAAGTTGGGTGGAGCAGGGCCTCGCAGAATCAGCAGGGTGGGACGAACAATGTGAGCCAGGTTGGTGGAGCCAGACCGCCAGGTCCCTGGCTCTATCAGGGGGAGGGCTCAGAAAAGGAACAGTGGTCTCTGTGGACATTTCCCTCTGGGAGAAAGCTGTTCCCAAGCTCTCGCCCCGATGCCAGGTGACTCAGTGTCTCCCCCTGTGTTTGTGGTGCCTTTCAATTTGCTGCCCCTGAGCTGGAGCTCAGAGTGAGTGAGTCCGATTAAGTCTGTACGTGGGCCCTTTAAGAGGAACCTCCAGGGATTCCAGCAGTTTCCATCTTCCAAAGCCTCAACCCCCACTGGTTTTTACAGCCAGAAGTTCTCTTCCTGGCACTGGAACCCTGGGCTGGGGGGCCTGTTGTGGGGCTGGGACCCTCTGATCCTGAGATATCCCTCCCGATGTTTATCCACCGCAGGTGGGTGTGGGACCATCCCGTTCCGCATCTCTGCCCCTCCTACCAGTCACCATGTAGTTGGTTCTTTAATTCCGTTGTTGCAGGACTGTCATTCGGCTTGATTTCTGATGGTTCTGAAGGATGGCTGTTCTGTAGTGTAGTTGTGATCGTGATGTCGGTGTGCAAGAAGGCGAGCTGTGTTTACTGCCATCTCAACCAGACATACCCCGCCTCCTTCTAACCCCCATGAAGATCCCATATGGACTAGCACTGGCTGTGAGTGAGTCACCTCCACGGAAAATCTAAAGAATCCCCTTTTTCCTGTCCTCTGAACGTCACGCATCATCTAACGGTAGGATCTTCTTTCTAACAATGGTTTCTGCCTGTACAAACATTATGGGTGGAGCTAAGGAAGCACGTTCCCTTGGAGGGAATCTAAGAAAACCTGTTTTTTTTTTTGGTTCATTCAACCCTGGGAGCACCTTCCTGCTGCCCAAAGAAACTCTACACACCATCATTCTAGGGCAACCCAACTTCGAATATTCTTTCTTGCAGGTCCCATCAGGATGCACAAGCAGGAAACATCCTTTGGGGTATCCATAGCCCGGTGGTTTCTCCTCCTCTCGGCACTCCCACCTCCACTGCCAGAACCGTGGGAATGGTACCCACAGCCATTGTGTGCCCCATGCTCCAGCCCCACCTCTGGCCACAGCCGATTGTTCCAGGAGCAGACACCTGACCCAAGCTGACCCAATCAGTTTCTCTCCCTCTCTCGATATTGGGAGTGGAATTGATTCACAACAGTCTCTCTGTGTGGCCCTTGGTAGCTCAGGCAGCCACCTCCAACCAGCCACAGCTGAGATTCAGGGAGAGAAAACCCATGTGTGTAAAGAAACAAAACCCAGAAGTGGTTTTCTCAATAGGGTCCTTGCCTGAGACATAGGTGCCCTGCTCCCCTTGGTGTCCCCTCCCCACTGAAGTTATCCCAAGTGGTTCCCAGATTGATTTCAGAAGTAGGTCCGTGGCCCGCTGGCCACATGAGAAGGCCAGCCACAAGGAACCGAAACCAAACTTTTCTCCAAGCTCATTTAGTACAAAACTCTGGTCACCACTTACTGCTGGTTTGTGATCATCTGCTGGGAGCGGAAGTTAAAGGACTTCCGACCTTCCACCATCTTCCAGAACTGCTGTCTCAGCTTCCGAAGCTCCGCCTCGGCCAGCTGCTCTTTTGCCTTTTCTGAAGGTTCCTGGAGACTGTTGGAGTCTTTTCTCCAGTGCTTCTTCGACTGGGTGAGATGGGGGTGTGAGCAACAAACAGGTCAGGTGACTAGAGAAGCCCCTATTTCAGCTCAAGGGCAGAGGACAGGCGCAGGTGCCTGGGGCAAGGCTGAAGGTGGAAGACTACCCTTGGGCGATGTCTAATGCTTATCTACTACCTCCCTGCAGAGGCTGCCAGGATGGAAAAGCGGCTAGGCCTCATCATTGCACACTGACAACACAGACTTGTTGCGTGACCTTGGGTGAGTCACTAACCTCCCTGAGCCTCCAGTCTCTCACCTACAAAACGGGCTCCCACACATTGGCTGTTAGGATTAAACAGGCTGACGTGGGCACACTGGAAGGCCCACAGTGAGCTCTCTCTACACGGGAGCTATTATTACCTACCATCGGCATCTTGAAGGAACTGTGCTTTTCCTCTGCTCAGACACGGGACCCAGGGGGGTCCAACCCAGCGACCACTCCTTCCTCTCGGCAGGACCCTGTTCACAGTGGCAAAAGGGAGAGAACTGGTGAGCCACCCCTGCTGGTGGTGCAGGAACCTAGGGGCGCAGTCTCCCGTCCCCGCCCCCCGCAGTCCCTTCCTCCTCCCACAGCTTGGCACATGAGGAGGACACGGCAGATGGCTGCCCGGGTGTGAAAATAGGCTTTTTTTTTTTAAGCAACATTTGCCTGAAACCTGTTCCTCTCTCGATTTATTATTAGGAGCCGGGCAGATGGTTCCGACGTGTCCGTTACCCTCCTGCTCCCTGTGTTCCCAAAGAAGAGTGAATGGTGTTAGGGCAGTGTGTCCCCCCGTGGGGTTAAAGCGAGATTCATCCAGTCCCAGCTGTGTGGGACACTGTCTTCTAAAGCGGGAGCCATTGGTACTGAAAGGCGTTTTATTGGGTCATCACTTAAAACTCGTTTGGCCTGGGGGTATCCAGAGGAAGAGGACCACAATGTTAACCCTACAAACCCTCTGGGGCTGTGAGACCCCCTGCACCGCTGCTCCCAAACCTCAGGGGCTAGATGCCTAAGGCAGGAACTTTCAGCTTTGCTACCCACCGAGGGGTTCTGCAGTGCAGGAGTTTAAGCACTGCTTGGGTCAATCATCAGATCTCAGCAAAAATTCCTCTTCAGTCACTTATAACCTTGAGCAAGCCACTTCAGTTCTCTGGGCCCTCTCTGTTCCCTGCGAACAAATCCACCCCCACTCTCACAGCGAGGCCTTCAGAAGGCCCCAAAACGTCCTGGACCCCGCCCCGCATCTCATTCAGGGGTCTCAAACCCAAGGCCTACGGGGCAAATTCAGGCTGCCTTCAGTTCTGCCTAGCACTGACAGGCAGTGTTTTAAAATGTGTGTGGGTCATGTACTCACTCCCCTGGCTGCAGGCTCCACTCCTCCTGATTTACTCCTCCTTCCCCCAATTCCACATTTCCTGTAGCTGCCTGGAGCCAGTAGGAATCTGAGTTTGCAATTCCAAGGAAGAATCTCAAAGCTGTCCACTTCCGGTTGTGTGTGACAGAAAATGCAGAGAAACCCAGAGGTCCGGTCAAGGGGAATCACCCAAGTGCCTCTCACTCCCTGGGCCTCAGTCTACCCACTACAGTATCTGCAGTGTTAGGCATGTAAGAAGCTCTTAGCATGAATGAAGTCTGCTCCAATCTTTACTGCCTAATAGTTAACTAGCTGGGGTTGAGGAGGCCGGTGCCTCCTCTGCTGCTAAATTTGAGCAATCTGCCTTTAAAAGAAAAGCTTGACTCGTGGGAGAAGCCACTGCCTGGATTATAAATGCCAGCTCTGGAGGAGGAGGCGCCTGTGAAAACAAGGCCAGGGCTGCAGAACCTGGTGGACTGCCAAACATAAACTTGGGGCACCAGCCTCGCAGGGATGCATAACACCCACAAATTTAAAACAAAATTGGGGAAATCATTATGGGGTGAAGTGGAAGTTTGCTGGACTTTCTTGGGGTTATTTGACCCATTGTAATTTGTGTTTAAGTGAGGGGTTCATGTATTTTCCAAGCTTAGAGAGCCCAAAATTGTGATGGGCTGAGGACAGCCCCATCTTTGCTTTTTCCCAGTAGGGGACGCTGTGGAGCAGCAGGTGCAACCGTACAGGCGGGGAAATTTACCCGGGTGGCTGCAGAAGCACTGCGACCGCGTGTCCCACCGCGCCAGGAGGCCTCCCTGTCGCGCTGCCCGCGCTGCACCAACCCCCGCACCGCAAGCCCTGGTGTTCTCGGACCCCCTGGAACAGGCGCCTTTGTGACCCGGACAGATGGGGCGTTCTCCCCTGGAACGCACTGGGAGGGGCACAAGGCTCTTAGGTGGGGATCGTAAAACAGCTGGTGATTGGAAAGGTGTTTTTCTTGCTCTGTGTGTGTGTGTGTGGGGGGGGTGATCACATACTTCTCAGCAACCTCAAACTAGCTCGACCCTCATGGCACTAACTTCTTGACTCAGTGGACGCTCAGCTTCCCTGACCCTTCGAATCACACCGCCTTTTCAGTTGTCATTCACAGGCATCTCCACTCACCATCTCCTGACCCCGCCCCCTCTCACACCCGCGCCCACCTGCCAGGTGTACTTTACCTGCTCTAGCTCAAAGAAACCCAATTCTTTTTGCTCTGCAAAAAAAAAAAAAAAAAAAGAGAGAGAGAGAGAGAGAAAGCGGGGGTGAGAAGAGAAATAAGAGCACTTCACCAGCGCAGGGGAATTTGCCCACCGGTTTTCCTCAGGGGCACCCCCACCGCCCCGCTCTGCTCTCTGTGAGCAGGAAATGGGGAACCTCAGTCTGAACCAAGGCACTTCTGACTCCCGGCCTGAGTTTGGTAGTTTAAAGATAAACATTTTTTTTTAATACAAAGGGCCCTGGAATATTATACAAGCCAACCGCTTCCTCTGGGGCTAAACTCAAGAAGCCGCCACACTGCTGGAGGGAAATGGTTGGTTTCCTAGGGTAATTATGATTTCGTGTGACTTCCACCCTGCCTCCCAGCCCCTTGAGGGAACTGTAGTTCACTCATACGAAGATCTGCATTCTCTTACCCCTAAACCCTCGGAACAAATGTGTCTTGGAACAGCCACGAGTTTGGGTTTCAGGAAGGAAACGTGGTACAGGGGAAGCCTGTGGCCGCCAGTGTTGCTGGCAGCCATGTTATGACCATGAAGGATGTTAATGTGAAAGTATATTTATTACCTATGGGGTTTGGGCAACTTGTCAAAAATCAAACACATTAACATTTCTGCAAGGACATATATACCAATTAATGCCAACAGAATAAATAAAGATTATGAGCAGCCTCACTGCAGGCCTTGACGACTCACACAAAGTTGTCGGCAACAGTTCCCAATCTGAGGTGTGGAAATGGAGGCTCTTCCTTCAGGTTTGGAAACCCAGGGAGTCACTGATATGGGAAACTTTGAAGAACCTCTGTTTAACCTTTATTTGCCCAGGCCCCAGGTGCCCTAGGGAGAATGATGGGGCTGTCCAGGATAAGTAAACAACAGTGCATTAGCTAGGACTGAGATTAACACCCCTGCTGTTAAAAACTGACCTTCGAATTTAGCCTTTGTCCTCTGCTTCTGCCCCATAGTTAGAACTAACTTCCGCATTCCGCTTCTGAATCCCGCTTTGCTACGTAGACAAGAAGACCCTGTAAACTATAAAAACCCCAAGAATCCTTTGTTCGGGGCTCAGAATTTGGATACTGACTCCTCTGGGCCCGTGCACGTTAATAAAACCTCGTACTCCAGAAACCCTCGGTGTCTGGTTGCTTCATTTTCCTGCAACATTTGGTGCATTGACCGGGAAGCGACCTTTCACAAATTCAGGGCAACTTGTCTCCAGCTGGATAAGCGAGCGGTGGCCAGAGTTCCAACCAGAGAAATGGGGATGCACATGCCCTGAGATTTCTCAGGCCCCATCCGATTGGGATTCATGACCGCCAGCCTGCACTCTAGACGACAAGCGAGGGTTTTGGACTACGACCTGACCTGAGACCAGGGGCACCAAATCGGTAAGGGCGCCAAATCAGTAAGTGCCCCAGCGACCTGACCCGAGAGATCAAGACAGAGGCTGATCACCTCAAATCAGAAATCTGGGTTGGGTTCATGCTGAGCCCAACCGCCTGGCCCTCACTCTGGTAGGGCTCTGGGTCGAATTCATACTGAGTTCGGCCACGGGGGCTGATTTGGTTCGAGTCCAACAGCCGGAGAATTTGGCCGGTTCTAGTCCAGCCACCAGGAATTAGGTGAGAGGGATTGTTTAAATTCAGAGTGCCTGAGAGTGAAAGTGTGAGTGAATGTGCCCCTGTCCTTTGTGTGTCCACACCCTATCTTGGGGCTCGGCGGGTAAGCGCATATCCAGCGCTCCAAGCCCTCTCAGCTGTGTAAGTAAACCCGAAACTCAGAAAAGAATTTCTTTGATTAGAAAAGTGCGCGCACCCGGCTGGGGCTGCGCGACCCCTTCTCTTTCCCCCTGATCCGCACCAAGAGGTGGGGGCTGGGCACCGCCGGGAGCAGGGCTATCTCCTCAGGTCAAGCACCCGGAGAAGCCCGGACCCTCGGAATTGCCGAAGTGCTGGGCCGCCCCTCCCAGCGCGACCGCTCTCCTACCCCCGCCCACTCCCCCTCCCCAGCCCCGGAGACAAGGTCAGTGGGCGGGAGCCAGGGGCCCGGTGGCTAGGGGCAGGACGGACTGTCCGGCAGTGCGCACCGGCTGGTCGCGCTGTCCGGCCTAGAGTGGGAGGAGGTTTCCCCACTGGCGCGAGGCCTCGGTCTTCTCTGGGAGTGCCCTCCACTTCGCGCGCTGCACTGTGGACCCCCCCTGCGCTGCGCCCCGCCCGGCAAATGCGTGTCCCCGGTGGTGACCCACTGCCGCGCGGGGTTCCAGGTTCCAATATGCCCGCAAGGGAGGAAGAAGAGGAGTAGAGTCACAGAGGTGAGAGTAAAGAAGCGGCATCAGGACCCCCGGGCAGGGCCCGACTTCACCGCCCCGGCAATACTACCAAAGAGATTGAGAGCGCTGACCAGAGCAGCGGCACTGCACTAGCTGTTTCCTAGCAACAGGTAAGATTTCAGTGAGCGGGTGGGGCTGGTAGCATCGAAGCTGGTTTACCAAGGGCCACGTCTTGCCGTGTGAGGAATTTTTAGTTCTTTTTTTTTTTTAGTTTTATTTTTTTTTTTTTATTGATTATGCCATTACATTTGCTCTATTCCCCCCTCCCTTCCCCTCCACCCTGCATACCCCTCCCCCACCATTCCCCCTTTAGTTCATGAACATGTGTCTCAAATTCTTTAGATTCTGTATTTCCCCTACTATTCTTACCCTCCCCCTATCTTTTTCTATCTACTGTCTATACTACTTATTTTCTGTACCTTCTCCCCCCTTCCCCTCCTCCCACTCTCCTGTTGCTAACCCTCCATGTGATCTTCATTTCTATGGTTCTGCTCCTGATCTAGCTATCCTCTTAGTTTGCTTTTGTTTTAGGTGTGGTTCTTAATAACTGTGAGTTTGCTGTCCTTTCACTGTTCATCTTTTTTTATCTTCTTTTTCTTAGGTAAGTCCCTTTAACATTTCATATAGTAAGGGCTTGGTGATGATGAACTCCTTGAATTTGGTCTTATCTGAGAAGCACTTTATCTGTCCTTCCATTCTAAATGAAAGTTTTGCTGGGTAGAGCAATCTTGGTTGTAGATCTTTGGTTTTCATGACTTGGAATACCTCTTTCCAGCCCCTTCTTGCCTGTAAGGTCTCTTTTGAGAAATCAGCTGACAGTCTGATGGGAACTCCTTTGTAGGTGACTGTCCCCTTAGCTCTTGCTGCTTCTAGGATTCTCTCCTTCATTTTAATCTTGGCTAATGTAATTATGATGTGCCTTGGTGTGTTCCTTCTTGGGTCCAACTTCTTTGGGACTCTCTGAGCTTCCTGGATTTCTCGGAAGTCTATTTCCTTTGCCATCTTGGGGAAATTCTCCTTTATTATTTGTTCAAATAATTTTTCAACTGGTGGTTGTGCCTTTCCCCCCTTCTGGTACCCCTATAATTCGGATGTTGGAACGTTTAAAGATGTCCTGGAGGTTCCTAAGCTTCTCCTCATTTTTCTGAATTCTTATTTCTTCATTCCTTTCTGTTTAATCATTTTTTTTCTTCCGTCTGGTCCTCTCCCTTGATTTGAGTCCCAATTTTCTTTCCATTACTATTGGTATCTTTTGTATCAGCATTCATTTCAATTAATTTAGCTTCCATATGTTTCTCTAATTTGTGACTAAAATCCACCAGTTCTGTAAGGATCCTTATAACCAGTGTTTTGAACTGTGCATCTGAAAGACTGGCTATTTCTTCATCACTTAGGTCTATCGGTTCTGGGGCTCTGAGTTGTTCTAGAGCCATTTTTGGTTTATTCGTGCTGTGAAGTAAGCGGAGCGAAGCCTTAGTTGTTTACCAGGGCGGGGCGACCCAGGTCGCTGGTTTGTGATGCTGTGTGGGGGCGGGGTCAGAGAGGGAGCAATGGCGTTCCTCTCCGCTAGCCCAGCGCATCCAGTCACTCAAACGCCTCGGGCTTGCTTATCCGATCCTAATTTTGCGAGCCTGCTGCACTGCGCGGGTTTCCCTTCTCACTGGTTTCTCCGCACGTAAATGCGCGCAACTGACCGACCCACCGCGCCTCTTCCCTCTGCGCTCCGGCAGCCAGCTCGCTGGCGATCAGCGTCCTCGGTTGCCTGCGCGCACCGCGCACCGCCCCGGGAATTTTTTCTTGCTAACCTGCTCCGCTGCTGGCCTCGCTCCTCGTACCGGTCCAGCCGAGTATCTAGTTGTCCTTTGGACTCCGTATTGTCGATTTTCCGTGTGGCTTGGTTGTGACTGCTGTTAAAAATAGTTGTTCTTAGATTTGGTTGTGCACAGAGGCGAGGTGGACCCTCCACCTACTTCTCCATCTTGGCGGAAGTCCAGGAATTTTTAGTTCTAAGATATTTGCCAATAAAGACCTTACAATCCAACTGGTCTGGCAATTGTAAAACGGGCTCATCATACTCTTAAGAGTCTTGAGCCTTTCCCCCAAATTTAATTTTATTGGCCATTTTAACTCTTAACTTAGAGAAGAGAGTACACTGTTTGCTTTTCAGAATGACCTTTAGAACTGCAGGTGATGAGAGTGAAGCCATATCACAGAAAAGGCTTCCCCAAGGGGTGAGGGATCTCCACATATAGACACTCCTGATCCAGATTTCTCCAAGTTGTGTGGAATTCCAACCAACACCCCTGGAGTGGTCACCTAAGAGACACTTTTCCTACCAACTTAAAGGGACTAAATTAATGCTGCAGGACATTTCACACTTAACCAAGCAGGAGTTTTTTCAGATTCTTCATGCTGAACTGTCTCACCCTAAGTTCAGATACTAGCCCTTGCTGCATATCTTTAAAGTAACTTTGTAAAGTCTGTGCTAATTCTTCCCAAAATTGAAATGTAACCAGACCTGTTACTTTTGTCTATCCCATGCGTTTATTATATCATTTTTCAACTGACTGAATTTAAGAGTTTGAGTTATAACAACCTGAGAATGCCTAGTTCTAATTCTTGTTTGTACTCTATGATATATATAGAAGTTGTTTCTTGTAATCGCATTTGAGAATAGCAAATAGCAGATTTCACAGGCCTATTTTGATTTAATTTTATAAACAAGAATAGGGAGATATTGCTGACCACTCTGCCTGATTTCAGGAATTGTACCTCTACCCCTTGGGGCTAAGGGCGAGACACAACTTCTAAAAGGCCAGCCGCAAGAGACAAAGCCTGTCTCTAATAGCAAACACTACCTCAGGTTGCTCTCCCTACCCCCAGAGCTTGGTCGGAAGTCAGTGGCGGGTGGGACCCCTCACCACGAGGGGCGGCCTGGGCCAGGCTCGATCCCCTGGGAGGCCTTCATAGAGGGACTCGGGAGGACTGCAACGGGGAGCAATGGACTCTCGCCCCCCTGGCTTTGACAAAGCCCTGGGTCCCCATGTACTGGAGGGGGGGGCATTTCCTGGCTCTCATCCCCTTGGGCCTGAATGCCTGCTGGGGAGAGGTGCAGCCCCATGCCTTGCTCGAGTGTGTCCTGGGGAAAATCTAGCGTCACAAAAACTTGCTGATAAACCTGTGAAATCTGCTCTGCTAGGAGTGCTTTCATTGATATAATAAGGGTCCAAGGGGGGATGGGTGTGTCTCCCAGGGTTTCTGCAACTCTCTTCCTGACAGACACTCCCACAGACCTCTTTGAAACGTTATCTACTGTTTAATCTTTGCTGCCCAGGAAGGGTTAATTGGGTCTGCTGTGTGCTTCAGCCAGAGGCAAAGCAGCATGCCTCTGCAAGGCACCAGTGAACCCATTGGTGTGAGAGAGTGCCTAGGCCTATGTGTTGTTTTGAAACTGTGTTTCGGATTTTGCTCTGTGTCTACTCTGAAAGGAAAAAGAAGGAGCCCACTGGCAGGTGACAAAAGCCAGGGTTACAGGCACCTACAGCCCTCAGCCTAGCTGGCTTGGACCCAGACCGGACTGCCACAGGGCTTCAGAGACTCTCCCACTCCCCTGGGGAGGGGGACTGGCCAGAGATCTGGAGTCGTTCACAGGGAGGGAGACTAACCCAGTCTTCCTTGACTCCCGAAAACGGAGCTGCAGGGCCCCTACCTTAGAGTCCGGCGCGACCTCTGCCCCGCCTCCACTGGTGACTGCAGCCTCAGTAAACCACACCAATGGGTGGAGGGTGG